AAATCTGGAATCTGAGGGTGCAAAAAAATCTAAATATTGAGAAAATCATCTTTAAAGTTGTCCAAATGAAGTTCTTAGCAATGCATATTACTAATCAAAAATAATGTTTACAAAATATATTCATGGAACATGATCTTTAATTAATATCCTAATGATTTTTGTCATAAATGGAAAATCTATAATTTTGACCCATACAATGTATTGTTGGCCATTGCTACAAATATACCTGTGCTACTTATGACTGCTTTTGTGCTCCAGGGCCACATTTGTCTGTGTGTACTGTCTTCTGATGAAGTCTTGCTGGTTAAGAAGAACTTGAACCAGCATCCAACCAGCAACATTTATTTGAAGTATCTGCCACTGCGTCTCTAGAACAGATAGTGGTAGAACAAATACAGTGTTGTAATATAAAGATAATCGCCAAGTATCTGTATCTGTATGCATCTATCAGAAAGTGTTCAAAACTAGCACTTGATCCATAAACTCTGGCATCAGATGCATCTCGCTGGACTACACACAGAGTCAGCGGCGTTCAGGGTTGTGAGCGCTGACCACTTCCAGTATGTTATGTAATTCAGTCTGGTCATCTGGGAGACCCTGCAGGACACGAGGCCAGATCCGACCCGGCACCAGCGGAGTCCTGCGGCGTAGAGCGATGAGCCCAAACACACACATTCTGCACGGATGCATGCGCCGCCGCAGCTTTCTGTGCATTGCATCAGCCCGGGTGGGCTATTTTTACTGTTTATTTGAAAGCTGGTGCTTTTTCTAACAAACATGCAGGAAGCTTTTAGGCAAGATATGCATGAGAAATGAGGGCTTATTGAGTTTTGAAATTTAGCTCCTTGGTGTCAAGACCAAAGCGATGAATGTGTTCTATCATACACTGAATAAACAAAGTCATTTCAAGTACACTGTCCAAACTCATGCTCAAAGGGATTTTCTGACTAAGATACAAGGGACACAAACCAGACTCAAACACAGTCCTAGAGATCAGTGATACCTTGACATGACGGGAGTCTTCTTGTGCTCTTCAGGTTCTCCCTGCACCTGTTGCTGGCCCATTGGCCCTAATGACCCGAGCCTTTGAAGAGCCTTTGTGACACGGTTAATGAAAGCCAAGCACTTCAAAAGGCGAGCGTAAGAGGACCATCATCGACACGCTCCAAAGGCCACGGTGAGGATGCACAGCATCTCGACTTAGTGCAACCAATTATCAGTGAATAATAAATCAGTCGGAGCGAAGGTGATTCCAGGCAGTGCAAATCTTTCATCACCTGCAGTCAGTAAAGACGACATGAAAGCTGGTCTCGTATTCTTACAGATGCACCAACAGTCTAGAAATATTCATAGTGGTTGAACCCACTGCTTCCTGTTTGAAACGGTTTGTTTTGAAAGTGTGTCACATTTCTTTAAGCTGTGAAAGCCGAACGATGAGTGTGTTCCAGTGCTGTGCGGTGCTTCTAAAATAAGCACTCGTCTTGTTTGTTTGCTTGTTTGTGCTTTAATCCAATGTAAATTAATGTTCCAGATACACTCGTAAGACACTTTCCAGGTTAAATAAACATACACTGTCAAAAAACAGCAACTGATACCATTCTATTTTGTAGGTTTGCATTAACAAATACAATATGTAATAAATAATAAATATATTTATTTTATTAAACCCAAGCATAAATCAGTGTTTTTAAGCATGTTTACATCAATTCCAAAATGATAGCTATAAGAACACATTCATGTATATTTTCTTTGTAAACTGATGTTCAGCTGTTCTTTTTAATAGTTTGAGCATCGTTCATCAAAGCTCAGTAAACACCTGCCGGGACACTGAGATGTGCCTTTAACTTCACCAAGCTGATTGCTCACAAAAAAAAATAAAAAATACTGAAAGATGATGTTTTCAAGTCATTTCAAGTTTGAATGTGACATAAAGTGATGCTATCAAGTGTGTTAGTTGTTGCTTACTTTTTATCAGTCTTCTCATTAACACCATTATTTGTTCATTCAGACTGATTTGAGGATGCACAAAAACGAAAGGCGGGATTTATTGCATTAACTGAGTAATAGTCCAATCATAGCGCCATGGAGGCACTGCCTTTTCTCACATGACTTTCCCCTCTATATTCTCAGTGATGCCCCATCAAACCCAGCGCACGCTTTAGAGGTTTGTTAAAACTCAATGAGCGAGTCGATGACTTCCACTGTAACTTTAGAGATTTTTACACACATTTTCAAAACTTTGCCTCTTCGTTTCAAAACTTTACACACAAATCCAAGAACTGCACACACAAAATGCAAAATGCCTCACATCTGTTGCAAAATGAAGCACTGCATTCAAAATATCACAAACACATCTCAAAAGCAAACATTTGCAAAAACCTTTGCCATAATATTAATTCCTTTTTGTGTGTTACATAGAGAATTGTGTGTTGTGTTTTGCAAAAAGTGTTTCATGAAACTGAAAACCGAGTCAAAGACCGAGAATTAGTGTATGGTTTTGTAGATTTGGTGTGTGCTTCTGCTGTTTGAGTGTCAGCTTTCAGAAACTGTGTGACGAGTAAAGAGTTTGTGTGCAAGCAGTTGAAAAAAACTGTAACTGCTGGTGTCTCATCCAGTTGTTTTCTCATCCAATTTTGCCTCCTCCTTTCGTCTTGTACATTCTAACAAAAACCCTGAAACTAAAAAAACAGCGCTTCTCAAGATCTACGACCTTCAGCCCAGGGTCATCAGTCATGTTTGCTGGTGAACAGTGTGACTGTGTGGGTAAACCAACAAAGCCAACATCAAACCAACGCTATCCAGCAGCAGCCACCTGGACCGGCATGAAGATTCTGTTCAAGCGCTCAAACACAAGCGCTCTCCTTTCTCAAAATATCTCACAGTGCATCCTCTGGAAGAGAGCCAAGCCGTTTCACTTCAGCAGCAGATCTCAACCACAGCAGGCCCAGCAAACATCGTCCTGCAGCAGGTGTGCCACTGAGCTCTGCAAACATCCGGCTGAAGGAGACCTGCGTGCCACACAGTCAGGCCTGCTTCTTCCTGAGGAAGAGGCTCGATTCTCTGCGTCTGCTGCTGATCTGAGCTCAGCTTCACGCTCTCTCAGACGGCTCTGCTGGGTCTACAGAGGCTGGTCCTGGATCAGCGCTAGAAGGTTTGACTCAGAGCGTGGGACGCGAGCAAACTGCCAGCAGATCACAAAAACACAAGCGTGAAGTGCTTCTGCTTCTCTTGATCAGTCAACAAGAGCTGCAAAAACACCCTGAACCCCTCATGCCAGACGATTTCTCTCTGAAAACACAAACATTCACATTCGAATGGTAAAAAGATAATCACAGAGTTACTGGGATAAAATGTTATAGTTTGGATATAAACACTGTTGTCTTTAGTAGCGATCAATATAGAATAGATCACTTTCTGAAAGTAACTAGACCTTTCAGATTAGAAAGACAGTCTCATTACATTTTACGCCAGTAGGTGGCGACAAGTGACTGGTAGGAAATGTATTTGTCATTGAATCACTCTTTCAAGAGATCCTTTCAAAAACACTGATTCATCCAGTAATGAAGAAAGAGAAGCCTCTATGAGTGATGAGTCATTGACTCGTTTATTCAAATGGATTTTTGAAATGATTCATGTAAATTATACATATATATTCTTTTGACATCAGGGTTTTGTTTTTGCTCTGATATTCATTTTCATGTGTGTCTTGCTCTTGAAAGGAAAGTTCACCTTCAAGTCTTTCCAACTTCAAGTTGAGTTTCTTTCTTCTGCTGAACCACAGCATGAGAAAACAATACTATGTAAGTCAATGGGGACGGAAACTGTTTGCTTACCCACACTCTTCACAATATCTTCTTTTGTGTTCAACAGAAGAAAGAAACGTTCTCATTTTGGAACAACATGAGGGTGAGTAAATGATAACAACATTTTCATTTTTGGCTGAACTATCACTTTTAATGTCAAAAAAAGAAAAGAAAAAAAAGCCAAATATTGATGACTAGATGCAGTGAGGATGCTGATGCTTAGAGCAGGTCAAAGGTCAAAGGTTCCTTCACACGATCCATTGATGATGTGCTGAAGAGCGTTTGCGTCCATGAATGACAGTGAGTCAGTATCCGCTGAATATCATGAAGTTCTGTAGGCTAATTCATCAGAGACACTAAACCAGATTACAATGAGCTCCAACACACAGAAAGAATAAATCACACACACATGACTGTTTTACAAGCCCAACAAACAACAGCTCATTGTGAGCAGACAGTATGACACTCTCTCAGCTCCGGCGGCCCAGCAAACATCGTCCTGCAGCAGGTGTGCCACTGAGCTCTGCAAACATCCGGCTGAAGGAGACCTGCGTGCCACACAGTCAGGCCTGCTTCTTCCTGAGGAAGAGGCTCGATTCTCTGCGTCTGCTGCTGATCTGAGCTCAGCTTCACGCTCTCTCAGACGGCTCTGCTGGGTCTACAGAGGCTGGTCCTGGATCAGCGCTAGAAGGTTTGACTCAGAGCGTGGGACGCGAGCAAACTGCCAGCAGATCACAAAAACACAAGCGTGAAGTGCTTCTGCTTCTCTTGATCAGTCAACAAGAGCTGCAAAAACACCCTGAACCCCTCATGCCAGACGATTTCTCTCTGAAAACACAAACATTCACATTCGAATGGTAAAAAGATAATCACAGAGTTACTGGGATAAAATGTTATAGTTTGGATATAAACACTGTTGTCTTTAGTAGCGATCAATATAGAATAGATCACTTTCTGAAAGTAACTAGACCTTTCAGATTAGAAAGACAGTCTCATTACATTTTACGCCAGTAGGTGGCGACAAGTGACTGGTAGGAAATGTATTTGTCATTGAATCACTCTTTCAAGAGATCCTTTCAAAAACACTGATTCATCCAGTAATGAAGAAAGAGAAGCCTCTATGAGTGATGAGTCATTGACTCGTTTATTCAAATGGATTTTTGAAATGATTCATGTAAATTATACATATATATTCTTTTGACATCAGGGTTTTGTTTTTGCTCTGATATTCATTTTCATGTGTGTCTTGCTCTTGAAAGGAAAGTTCACCTTCAAGTCTTTCCAACTTCAAGTTGAGTTTCTTTCTTCTGCTGAACCACAGCATGAGAAAACAATACTATGTAAGTCAATGGGGACGGAAACTGTTTGCTTACCCACACTCTTCACAATATCTTCTTTTGTGTTCAACAGAAGAAAGAAACGTTCTCATTTTGGAACAACATGAGGGTGAGTAAATGATAACAACATTTTCATTTTTGGCTGAACTATCACTTTTAATGTCAAAAAAAGAAAAGAAAAAAAAGCCAAATATTGATGACTAGATGCAGTGAGGATGCTGATGCTTAGAGCAGGTCAAAGGTCAAAGGTTCCTTCACACGATCCATTGATGATGTGCTGAAGAGCGTTTGCGTCCATGAATGACAGTGAGTCAGTATCCGCTGAATATCATGAAGTTCTGTAGGCTAATTCATCAGAGACACTAAACCAGATTACAATGAGCTCCAACACACAGAAAGAATAAATCACACACACATGACTGTTTTACAAGCCCAACAAACAACAGCTCATTGTGAGCAGACAGTATGACACTCTCTCAGCTCCGGCGTCTCATTGTGTTGATGAACACACACACACACAGACACACACACGGATCTGTTCATGAAGGAGAGCAGCGTCTCCATGCTGCTCCACTTCCCGTCCTGGCACGGTTCGGATGTGGGCCATGAGCTCACACACACACACACACACACACACACACACAGACACACACAGTCCACGCTTGGCACACCACCCGATGCACACCTCCCCACCTTCACACACAACCCTGAGTCTCCGAGAAACCCAGTGACCTGACAGACTGGGCCTGCTGGCTACACGCGCACACACACACACACACACACACGTTTGGTAAACAGAACAGAACCAACATAAATGTATTGCAGATATTGTTAAAGTTCAATAATTTTATGTACACATTTTAGAATTAGTCTGATTCAAAGGAGAATCAGAAGCCTGAATCCCGACTGACAGAGGAGGAGCTGGGGATGTTAATTAGTTACTGAACAATGCGAAAACTGCTGATAATACTGAGGGACCTTACATATGAATGCTTAGATAGGTGTCGTATTCCCATAGGTAGATGGGGATCAGCTGAGAGTCAGCTGATGCGAGCTTGACTAACGTGACCTGCCAGAATTAACGCTATGCTTGATTTTCTATCCCTTAACCCTAAACCTACCCCTTACAGAAAACATGTTTGCATTGTTACACTTTTAGATAAACATCATTTACTATCTTCAATCATTTTTTTGCCTCGTGGTGACCGCAGGCCGGACCCCACCAGGATATATAAACCAGTACACACACACACACACACAAACACACACACTCACACTCACAAGGTTTCACAAAGAACGAGCCGGACGGTCGCAGATGGCATCAGTGCATCAGATTCCTCTACTGTGATCTACAGACAGCAGTGAATGTCAGTGTGCACTGTGATTCTGTTTCACTCAATCACTGGGTTCAGTCTGACTCTGGACAAACCAAAGTAGCCCTGACCTTAAAGGGGTGGTTCATTTCAATTTCACTTTTTTACGTTAGTTAGTGTGTAATGTTGTTGTTTGAGCATAAACAATATCTGCAAATTTACGACGCTGAAAGTTCAATGCAAACAGAGATATCGTCTTTTAAAATTCTGGCAGAGACTGCAATTGGACATTCTGTTTGTAACATTCCTCATTCAAAGACTTGTTAACTGCAAGACGGGTCGACACACGTGTCTCTCGGGCTGCTATTGTGGCCAGGGCCCAGTCGTCCCGGACTAGGGGACCACAGGCAGACGTGTAGCCCGGTGCTGGGGACACGCAGCTGGGGTGGGAGGATTGGCTTGGCCCCCCGGCCTACCTCCTTTGGTCCTTGTGCCTGCTGTTCTTAATACTGTTCCTCGCGTTCTCCTTCTCTCTCTCTCTCTCTCTCTCTCTCGTTCAGCTCAGCTCCAACAATGAACTGTTCCAATTATAAACTTATTTTCACATAGCTATGAGAAGCGGTAAACATGGATGCGCGTGCAGTTGCCGTACTGTATTAAAGCTTTAATCAGGATAAAACTGCATATTAAAAGCTAACATAAGCAGTAGCATTTACAAATAACAGCGTTTCTAAAAGTATGAGACAACAACATACAAAAAACATAGGCCTACCATTAAAAGCCGTGCTTGCACAGGTTCTGCACGATCCTCTTCACTAATATCCTCTGCTTCTCAATCGGGCTCAAACTGACAAGCGATATTAACAATGCCGTTGTTTACACTATAACCGGAGCACATGCCGCTGAGGAGAGGGGCGGGACGCTTAGATGCGCACTAGAGGCGGTTTAGCCAATCACAACACATGGGGCTAGCTAACCAATCAGAGCCCATCGCCTATTTCTGAGGGCGGGGCTTCATAAAAGCAGGAAATGATCAGCGCGTTTCTCAGAGAAGGGACAGAGCTGTGTGGAATAAAGGTAAATTATGTGAAAAATAATGTTTTTTTTTTTTAAACGAAGCATTAACCCATGTTAGACTGCACCCCATAAACACAATCAAGCCTAGAAAAAAAACAGTGAACCACCCCTTTAAAAAAGAAGTAAACATCAAGTTCATTTTATTAAGTAAGCTTAATAAAGTTCAAATATATTTTACATACTTCATGTAGTTGTCACGTGTATGTTCCCTTGTAGTTTCTGTTTTCCTTATTTGGTCCTTCCTGTTCCTGTCCCAATGTAGTTTGATTTGTTCCAGGTGTGTCTCATTATTAGTTATCCTCCTCACCTGTCTGCCCCTCGTTATCTGCCCTATTTAGTTCTAGCCTGTTCTGAGTTTCTTTGTCTGGGATTGTGTTTGTCAACTCCTTGTGCAACGTGTGATTCCCTGAGAAAAAGAATTAAACGCCTTTGTTTTGTACTCCTGGTCTCCTCGTTCCTCACAGTAGCAACCCGTGACATAATTCCAGACCTAAAGTGACAGTAAGTGGCGCCCCTTCTATCCGTGTTTGTTTTACGTTTTTTGAATATTTTTTTGTTTTTTCCCACGTTCGTTTCTCCCCATTTAAATGGAGGCGCGAGCGCGGTTCCTTGCCTTGGCTCATATGAGCCCCGACCCAATTGTTTTCACAAGGGCATTCGTGCCGCTCGCCCTCGCCAGCTCCCTCGAGGGGGAAACCCTTGTGACGCTGTTCCTGATCGGGATAACTTACCATCGCCTCGCGGAGCTCCCAGACACCACCAACCTCGGATGGAAGGAGGCAGTCATCCGGTGTCTGGAGAGTCTCCGATCCCGATCCGGGACCCATCTGCCGGCAGTTCCCGAGTCAAGTCAGCGGGCTGTTAATGTGGCAAGGCCAACGGACGTTAATGTGGCAAGCCCGCCGGACGATAGTATGGCAAGCCCACGGAGGGCTCCTGTTCCCGAGCTAAGCCCAGGGAGGGCACCTGATTATCAAGCCCAGGGAGGGCTTCAGATCCCCAGTTAAGCCCCGGGAGGACTCCTGATTCCCCGTTAAGCCCAGGGAGGGATCCAGCCCCAGAGCTCGCTCCAGTGCCCGCTCCTGCAGAGCGCCCCCCAGGATTCCTAGATTTCCCCAAGAAAATTTTTGCCAAGGCCAAGGGTTCCTGTTTTCCTTATTTGGTCCTTCCTGTCCCAATGTAGTTTGATTTGTTCCAGGTGTGTCTCATTAGTTATCCTCCTCACCTATCTGCCCTATTTAGTTCTAGCCTGTTCTGAGTTTCTTTGTCTGGGATTGTGTTTGTCAACTCCTTGTGCTACGTGTGATTCCCTGAGAAAAAGAATTAAACTCTTTTGTTTTGTATTCCTGGTCTCCTCGCTCCGTGCTCCTCATAGTAGCAACCCGTGACAGTAGTAAGACTAATATCAATGTACTAGTAGTGTATTTGTGTTTACTTCTTCAGCACTTTACTATTTCAATGGAACTAAACTGACCCACTTTTTAATAAAAACATATAAATCCTTTTAAGTGTACCAGTAGTAAATTCCAAGTACAACTAGTTTCCAACTAAATTTTAGTTAATTTTAAGCTTTTTTT